TAAAACAAATCATTCGTGTGCAGTTAGGAGTGACCCTTGCTTGGGTGAATCTAATTAAATCTTGATGAAAAGAGTCATCAATTTTCTATAACTGTAACTGTTTGTTACTTACATATATTTTTCTTTCATAAAGTTTTACGTCAAGACGTTTTATGATCGCACAAAGGAATCCGTTTATACAAAATTCTAGATACAATTTTGATAAAAACGAAGTTATTAATGTTTATTATAACTGACATACAATTAACCTTAGTTGGAAGTTAAAAAAAATGTTTGGAACTTTTGCCCGCTGCCTTTTTAAGAGCATTCATATCAATTTGTGTAGGCAGGTTAAAGTGCCTGTCTCTCGCCCCAAGGGTTGAGCTCGCCCCACGTTATCTGTCGACGTAGGAAGCAATTAGGCGAGCGCCCTCGCTAAGCCCTCCCACCTGCGACTTTGTCACTGGTCAGGGTTGTCGCCACGATGGCCACTTAGAACATAGTAAACTGGATTTCTCACTTAACTTCATACTGGTCGATCTTTATCGAAACTTTTTAGTTTACCTTACTTTTTAACCTTTTTATTTTTTTTCTTCCATTTGTCCTGTAAGAACTTGCTTTTTGCTAAATTTCATGATTCTGTGTCAACGGGAACTACCGTATAGGTTTTCGACCCAAAACCTATAAGGTACTACAGTTCGACCTAGAATTGTCAATTTTTGTTAAAAGTTTTGGTCTATCAGCACAAATCAAAGGAAATTCCAAAAAATAAATAAAGTATAAGTTAAGGTAAATTTTGGTTTCGCGAAAATCTAAATTGGCCCATTTCTTTTTAAGGTGTTGACTCAGGACCTTGATTTTTGTACACCTAATGGGGACAATAGATCTCAGTATCTGGTATAAAATATTTCAACTTGGTTGTGCCACCCGTTCCGGAGAAAATCGGTGGTGACCCACGGAGAAGAGGGTGATTTTAAAAGGGTTCCTTTTTTACCTTTTAAGGTACGGAACCCTAAAAATAAACGATAGTTTGCTCAGACAGTGATAAAAAGCGCCAACATAAGGCGAATACAATAACCTGATAGCGTCAGGAATTGAAATTTGACGATCGCATTGTCAACCCTGACAATGTTTGGGAATACAGGATTAAGATTGATTTGGGAACCATTGTGTGGTATTGTTGTCCAATCACAATACAGGTATTAATTCCGGTTTCGGCAATATTTTTAAGAGGTTATAATTTCAGCTGTCTTGTGTCGGAGGCGTAGACCTAAGCTGTGAGATTTATAAGATATTGTAAGTTAATCAAACTTAATCTCATTATTCATAAGGATCGTACTTCATGGCAGTCTGTGGGGGAGGCCTATGTTCAGCAGTGGACTTAAACAGGCTGAAATGATGATGATGATGAATCTCATTATAGCAACGTCAAGTGTTATTAAAATATGTAGGAAATTATTTCATTGCTGGAAAGAAGAGGGAGGGTTCAGACTGTGACTTCAATATTGATTTTTATAAAATACAGCCAGGGTAAATTACATACATGGTTCACTTGGGTTGAGACCTCCCCCAGCTTCTTCTATTCGACCCCATCCAAATCAATCCTATTGATCTTGCGAAGAGAAGTTGGAACTTTTTGCACTGTTTTATTGTTTACAGCAGGGAATGTTCCAGAGAATTGTTCGATACCTGCTTCTGTCGAGTTTATTCACGAGTAGTTCGGACCGCTACTATTTAAGGACCTCCAAGAAGAAGGCCGATTCCTATGTTAAATGACGACAAATATTTGCACTTGCTTGATTGAATTCATAGGTTAGCTGTTTGCTCGTTTGCCTGCTCCACTTTATAGATATATACCTATATCGCTGTCAAGTTAACAGTTTAAAGATGGTGTTTATGGGTCGCTCCTGAAGCCGATGAAAATTTATACGGACGATAATTAGGAAAGCATAGAGAGTAATTTTATTTTTGTTTCATCCTCACCACACAAATATCTCGACGTCTATCTATTTTGATTTTATTGCAATTTTAGCATTGCTTAGTGTTATCTAGTACGCAAATTCAAATTATTTTTGTGTGTATTATTCCTATCATTATTGCCCTGCAGTGCTTGTGGGCAGTCAAGCCACTGACGTGCGACCTTTTTTTATAATATTCTTTAGGGGACTTTCTTTTCACTCTCTTAAATATTGAGGTACTATTCATTAAATGCGTAACCGGAGAGTTCGGATGATAGAACAATCTGTATGTACCTGTACGCTTTTATTGAATGTTTAATCTCTACTTTGAATGTTCTGGTGTCTAGATCGTAGTGTCGTTGTTGGTTTGTTATGAGCCAAAGAGCATTAGTAATTATCCTCAGAATTTCGGTATGGAACCTCTGAAGAATTTCTAGTTGTGAGATGGCAGCTGTGCCTCAAAGTTTTACTCCGTAAGAAGCAGTTTATTTACCAATGACAGTTGTGATTTTTGGTCCATTTACCAGTACCTTTTCCCTAGTTGTATCTCTAGTGCTTTGCGTTTGTAAAGATATGTTATTTCAAAGTCAAACAACAAAGTCAAAAATCAAAATAAAGCCCAAGGTATTTTGCTTCATTTGCTTGCAGTATCTGTACTCTGTTAAGCGACACATGGGGAAATCTCGCTCGTCGCTTTGTAAAGGTAACTTGTATCGACTTAGTTTTGTTTGCTTTTATTTGTTAGGTGTTAAACCAATCCGTGATGCTGTCTAGAGAGTCTTAAAGCTTGTCACTTACTTGTACTAAATGTTCATGAGAATGCGGTAAAAATAAGATAGATCACCGGACCAAGTACAAGCCTTGTGGCACTCCTGTTTGGGCTCTATCAAGTGGTGACATCTTATCCTTTCTTAACGTAACAAAATCTGTCAGCAAGATATGATTTTAAGAATATGTAAATTTGTCGGGAGTAAGTTTTCATTTTGTGTAATAAATCTTCGCATCAAACTTTGTCAAAGGCATGAGAAATATCTAAAAATGCTACGCAACTGATTTTCTTATTTTCAAAGGCTTTATGGATTTCTTCTACCAGCATAGATTAGTGTTTTTTTTATTTTAAAAGTTGCCAAACGAGCAGACGGTTCACCTGTTGTTAAGTGAAAACCGACGCCCATGGACAACTGCTACACCCGAGGGTTGCAGATGCGTTAGCAACCTTTTGAAAATTGGGCTCCGGCTACCTCACTCACCAGACGAAACGCGAAAGTATTTTTTATACTTCCACTTTACGCCGGTCTTCTGTGAGGTCGTGGTACTTACCCGGACGGGCCTGCACTTTCGTGCAACAGCCAAGGCTGTTGCGTGGCCCTACCACTGTCAAAATTGTTGTTCTATAGTGCCACGATGTTTTCTAAAGTCTAATTGGTAGTCAGGTATGCTATTATATTTTATTTTGATATATCAAATCTTCTAATTCATTCATTCTCAATTTTTTTTAATATACGAATGAACAAATCGCTCGTGATAGATAAACTTCTAGAGGGTTCTTGGGCGGTAATTTTTTCAGGAGCCCCGGAAATCCTTGTCGAACTTATGTCATTTTAGACATCAAAATAATTAACGCCATACTTCGAAATGTTGACGGACCACACTACACTGCGTTAGCAAAACTCACCTCGTTTATTAACCCCAAATGACAACAATTTTCCCCAATAATAACATAGGGGCAGAATCGATAGAGGGTGGGGCGATTGACACTGATTGGTACCGCTAGGTGCAGTACCACGGTCGTTTCGCACTTGAAAGCCGGAAATAATTTCGTGCGACATAGAAAATGTTTAATGATGGATGAGGCTAAATGAAACAAGGGATGCCCATTACATTTTATTTTCCTATTCATCTAAACACAGATTATAAACTAAATCGATACTTCTTATAACACGCTCAAAGCGAAACATCAATCGAATGTATAATGTTCAACGACTAATGATAACATCGTATTTAAAGATCGATCTTGAAACTTCAAACTTAAACTCGATGAAACTGTTTGAAAAGCAAACACTTGTAATACAGAATAGGGCATTTAACACGACTAATACCTACCATATTAAAGTAATATTTAAGTAATGAATTTTTAAAGGTTCCGTTTTACTACTTAAATCGGACCACATTACACGGCCCTCATCTAAGCTTCAGACTTAAAACAGTATTCAGACTATTTAAATTTCCATTTATCAGAGATAGACAAGGAACTATTATACTAAATAAACAAGGAGCATTTCAATCTAATCTATCTTAAATAAAAAACTTATTACTATTTCTATATTTAAAAAGTACGTGCCTACTTAGGAATGACGTTAAAACATACCTTCGTTAATTAATGAATGCTTAAAAGGTAATTTCTATAAACTACGATTTATCAAAAATTTTAACAAAAACAATACTTCCAATGTTAATTTCAAGCATTTTTTGCAAGATTTTAAAATTTAAATTGCTGTACCTACCTACTATAAATTTTTCATATTATGTCTTTGTCAGCCAAACATCAAATTCAACGAAATATTAGATTTATCTACTGTTATCAGATTTCTCAATAAATATGAACCAAATTATAAATTTAATTTAATTAATATTAGTACATTTGACGTGTTTAATTTTTACAGTTTTCCGTCCACTACTTTTATTAAAAACGGGAATTAGTAATATAATTATGCTACTGAGACCAAATCCTTAGATATTCAACGCTAAAAATTTATCTAATACTGAGATTAGACTTGTAAATCTATTAAAAAAAACAAGTATTTATAGATATAGGCTTGTGTTTAACTAAGTTAGCAGCAAAACAATAAAAACGTTCGAATTGTATCTCGAGATCAATTGTCTTTCAAAGATGCACCAGCACTAGCACATAGCAGCGACTAACTGGCTATCCATACAACCGCACACACGCCGTGGTCCATTCTAAACGAATATCGCCACTAACACAATCGCGACAAGTGCTGTTTCTGCGTAAAGCCTTTAGAGCCTGGGCTCTGGCGATTCGCAGAAGCACTTGGGGCGCTATCCACTTATTATGTTCACATCCTCTTCCTCGCCGACCTGCAGGATCGCCTTCTGGATCAAGCGCTTCAGCTTCTTCCGCGACTCGTCAGAGCGCAGTGTGCGCAATTCTGACGCAACGAAGTCACCGAATATCTGTGCGTAAGATGACAATATAGCTGGCGATATCATGATATAGCTGCTTGGTGTATTGTTTTATTTTTTGGTACCATTACTTGCACTAAAAGATTTATTCTTAGGACTTAATTGGCATGCATACAGTTATTGACTTTTAGGATGGTTATTCGACATGTGTACCGGACATTTAGTCGTCATTAAATATCATCCGTTATTAAATTACACACAAATTTATACTTAATATAGTGTGTAGTAAATTTCCATAATAAATTTGGAAACGGACGCAAGATTCAAGGGTTTCGTAGAAGAGTTTTCGAAGGCCAATTTGCATATTATATCGTTTTATACAGTGGAACCTCTTCATATGGGGGCTGATGGAAAGCTAGCTGATCCCAGAGTGGCGGCGATCACTTATATTGGGTGAGCTGATTGATAGTTGGTCGCCTGCCCTATAAAAAACCGTTCAGGTAATCTTAATGCACGTACGCGCCAGCAGACCGGGGAAGTCAAACAACCTCAGACAATCGGCTTAAACACATTTAACACAAACCTACGCCTCTTTTGCCACTTTTTCCTAAGAAAAACCTAATTTTGATAGTGTAGAAATATCACCTGGCACTCATCGGCGTTGACACCTGGCCGCAGCCGTGGCAATGGCTCCTCGGGCCACATCATCGGGTGTGCGCTGGGGGGTAGGGGCGGTGGCGCTGATGCGGCCACGCGGATCGGGGGCTTCACCCTCCGTGTGGGCGAGCTGTTGTTCGCGTTGCCATTGGTTATGGTGGCGGTCGTAGTGGTGGTAGTGGTGCTGCTGGTGCTGGTGGTGGTAGTGGTGGTGGCGGTGGCTTTGTTTAGGTTAGCGCGGGCCGCGATGCCGAACTCCACCTCTTCGTCCGCTTGGAACTCTGCCAGCTGTGTAGCGTACCATATAATGAGACTTGCACTTGCAAATGGTTGTTGTTTTTAATTGCTTAAATATGATAGGATTAAATGAGGCTCTTCGTTAAACTTTACCGTGAGATACATTTAAGAGCCTACAAAGAACATGAATGGTTTAAATATTCAGGTATGAGCAATGATGTTGACGTTTTTTGGATTTTGACCTTTTAATTTTTTGTATAATCGCAAACAATTGAACATGAACGGTACAATATAATCCGATGCGTGTCAATAACGGCTTATTATACCAAACTAACAGTCGCTGTTTTAATCATAACGGTGTAACCATCAAATCGTGATCTTAGATATAATCCTTTTAACTCTGTAGAATCCTAGGGAGTAATTTAATAAATCTACAGATATATAAACATAACCATAACATTTGTTAAATCCTATAACGTGAACTTACTCCATTTTGGTTTCCTTCACATTTTCTGAGTGTAAGGTTATGTGTTAGTTCTGAATAATAAAAGTGGATTTAAGTCCATCTTGGACTTCAAGTCTATCGTGGAAGACTATAGTCATCTATTGTAACAACGGATAACCCTCGATAGCAGAAGTCAAATTCCAGAGTTGCAAGGCCTGTGTATTAAGCCGTGTGTCGGAGGGGACTGAAAGTTTTCTAAATACAAGCCAATTATATGGAAATATAGTAATACTCACGAAATTGCTCCAACCTCAAAATAATTTAATACAGTCTTAAAATGAATGGCAAAGGAATATACTTTTTCTGTACTAATATACGCTTGCTTTTTAGATCCTGATGAAATACGGTGGCCTCATAAATTAATGTTGTGACTAAAAAGGCAAGTGTCAATTTATAGAATACTAAAGATCTTTCTTGCATAATAATTGGTTGTAAACATTAAACAGCGCGGCCGATTGTAAAAATTTATAGACGCTACCGCCACATTTGTTAGCGCGTGACCAAATGTACAAGCGATGGCGATCTGCATTTAGTTCAAAACTGTCATGATGATATAACTAATGTCAGAGAATAAATATATCACTCCACAATTGATACGATAAAAAGACATTTATTGATAAGCATGTTCGTATTCATGTGTTTATAGTCTTATCAATTTATTCCTCATAGTCTTTTTTGAAACAAGATGTAAAAAGACCTACATTTCTACCCAAAAAATAATTTGTCAATGCATCGTTCGTAAATACCCGATCAATAAAATCACGTATCGATTATAATACATTGGGATGAAGACGTTCGCCACATTATTTTCCATAAATAATTCATGAGTTAGTAAATGTGTGGAGCGCTTCCGGAAGATTGCATTAATTTATGGCTACATCAAGTCTCCCGATTCGATTCTTGTCCAGTTAATAAAAAAGTATTAAACCGTATAATCACCGCTCTATATGTAATTAAAATTTGCATTTATAATGTTACACGATGTTAACATAAGCGTTTTTAAACGCTTGAATTTACTGGTTGTTAACTACGTAAACAAGAACATTATACTGGCGAATGAGACATCACCATAAATTAATTAACATAGATTGTGTTTTGACTTATTTTTATGAGTATCCAATGGAGTTTATTTTTTTACCGCAATGATTATGTGTGCCTATATTGCGAATAGAAAGTAACTTAAATTTAAACTTTACCCATTCTACTTCAGCGGCTGAATTTTAACAGTATTATTGTTATGTTGTATATTTTAACGTCTTGAGAATTTCTTCATATACCTAGACTATTCATTAGTTATACCGATTTTTTTCCATATTAACAGTACTCCCTTAGTTCACCGGATCATAACCTGTACTCTTAACAAATAACGTTATACATTTTCGGATAACTTCGCTATACAGGTACAATTATGGAAAAATAGACAGTGCGAAATTGAAACAAGAAATGCTCGTCGGAATAAACATACCGCAAGATTGACAGCGTCGACAGAATCGAGCGGGTCAGGGGGCGCGCGGAGCAAAAACGTCAACGCGTCGAAGTACTCCCAGCCGCTGCTCCCCGCCACCACGCCGCCTTCATTCCCCCACCTCCTCTTTATCTTCCTCAGCTCGTTATTAAACTGCGTCCTCAGATTGTGTATTTTCCTACTTATCTCTTCGGCGGTCGTGCCGAAAACGTTCGCCAAAAACTCCATTTTCGCCTGCCGCGCCACTCGATCCTTATTCAACGGATGTTTTACGTCCCACAATTCCTTACAATCCTTTTCCATAGTGTCGATTAGTTTCATGGTGTTCTCGGAGTTCCAATTATAACGACTGTCGCGTTTGTACGACGTGGTTTCGCTCTCCGAATCGATTTCAATCTTTGGGAATGACATATCAAACGAATTTGAATTGGAATCCATCGCGGACCGTAGTCACAGCTCAGTTGCTCTAGCGAGACTGCGGGGAATGGCGGAGAGCGGTGTCGCTCTGAGCGGCAACGTCGCGTTAAACAAACACAACACGGCGCATCGTACTTTCATCGCATCGGACTCGACTGAACGCTAACTTCAAGACGCTAAAAGGACTGATCCGAATGCATTAGCGTTAATTAGCGCAGATTACAAACAAGTACGGTTGTTTGTGCTATGCGTATTAGAAGTTGATATATCTTACGGATTTTAATCTTTACGTTTGTTCATTTAATGGTTATAATTTTTTATGGTTTATTTATTTACAATAGACAATAAGATTTACAATGGATAGAGTATGAAATATGGTCACATATAATTATGTAGAAAGCTACAGTTAGCAGTAGTAAATTAAGTTATAGTAATATACCGTACAGTAACACGCTTATTAGTAATAAAAATATCTTTTTTCGTTTTTATTAGCAGTTTCTTCACATGTTTCTTCTACAGAAGTAGTTGCTTAACTTAAGAGTGCAAAACATATTTATACTAATTTAAATTGTTTATAGTGCTAATCTCTGTACTTAAGATTGAACATTAAAATATGTAGAAAAAGTATGAAAAGATTGTCGCCTCTGTGGCAATTTAACCCACGTCTTCGGCATTCGTTTCGTACTTTTTCTACATATTTTAAGCTTCAATCTTAAGTGAATTCAGCATTAGCATTTATAGTCATAATACTAAATTAAAACAATTTAAATTTCTAAAAAAAAAAGCAATGGCGACATCTCTCTTTCGAATTATCGTTGTAGAACGATATTCAAAATTGTTTGCATGCTGGGAAGGATATAACAATGGATGCGCCAAGCATTGCTTCAAATGCTAAAAAAAACAATGTAGATAAAGGACGTTAAGATTTTCGTCTGTGTGGCAATCAGCAGTTTAGCTTAGTGGTTAAAGCATCAGGCCGCTAATGCTGAAGACGTGGGTTCGATTCCCACAGCGGAGACAATCTTTTCGTACTTTTTCTACATATTTAAATCTGTACTAATATTATAAAGCTGAAGAGTTTGTTTCTTTGTTGTTTGCTTGAACGCGCTAATCTCGGGAACTGCTGGTCCGATTTGAAAAATTCTTTCAGTGCTAGATAGCGCATTTATGGAGGAAGGCTTTAGGCTATATATCATCACGCAGTAAACAGTTAAAGTTTCGCAAAAAATCATGTATGACAGAATTTTTCCCTTTTAAAATTTCTAGTCCGCGACAGCATGTGTATCTTTTGGGACTGGCTCAGTATAACCTTTTTTAATGCTAACCAAATTTGTTCTAAAATAATGCATAATTTGCGAAGGTGTTTTCATAAATATCATATTAATCCTTATCCAAATGAATACGTTATTCATCACAAGTATTTAATTTAAAACAAAATTGCCCTTTACATCATTCTATTTCAATGAATATCTTAGGAGATATCGCAGTTTTCATAACATCGCAGCAAAATAATAATGATGCGCGCATTTATTATGTCCAAGCCCGGGTTAACGTTAGCCTTACGCTAAAGTAACTATTCCACGCGAACAAATTCGCGGGCAGAAGCTAGCATATTCCACTTAACCGTGCGATATACACAATACTTATATTTTTATTTCTCATTTGAAATTATTAATTGAGAATTTTACGATCTTATAAAAATAATACTTAATTAATCAAATATTTCACATAGTGCACTTTAGTTTCTTATTGACAGAAAATAACATTTCGAGAGTTTTATAAGCATTCTTCGAAAGTTGAGCTCTAAACATAAAACTTGGTTTGAAATCGTTTACCAATTCCTTTTGAATTATAAATTATCACAACATAATTTAAAACATGTCACACGTCCTAATTCACCCAATGTTGTCACAGTTATCTCACCGTGAAACGAAGTGAACGTATGTAACTTGATATGAGGACGTTAATTATTAATTCAAACATTCCACATCGTGTCGTTAAGAAAGTATAATTACACCTTGTTATTATAATTTGGTGATTTAATGACATTAGAAGTAAAATCAGCCTCAAATCTATCCAAACAAAGTGTTTATTCAGTTTACATAGATAGAGAGATTTGGAAAGGTTAGGCAGCTTTATTTTTCATTTCTATCAGCCATTCTTTTACCTCTTCTAACTTTACATCATTTCGTGAAGATTCTGCAACAATCAAGTTGCAACAAACACCTATAGGTTCTTAATAACTATGTTACTTTTATCATCACGGTGATACAAATTAAAGGCGAGCGACTAAAAATATCAATGCTTTAAGCAATTGTCTGTATTGACTTTGCTTCGCCATAAGTTTCAATTAAGTTGAAAATATTAGCTTTAATGTATTATTCTGCATTGTCAAGCTGTAAATAATTACATAATTTCATGAAAACGTGAGTTATGTTTGCCTTCAAGACAGTGATTTTCAGTGGATTATAAGTATGCGTAGGTATGGGAGAACGGAGCTAGATAGAATTTTTTTTAGTAAATTACTCGTAGATACAAAAAGTTGAGACCAACTTTTTGTTCATTTACTTTCCTTTAACTAATATTTTTGATTTCAGTTAAGTTTCATCGAACATAGAACTCGTGGGCTAGCCAGAATAATAGAGAGTCGCGCAAGTGCTCATGCATGCGTTATCTTAAACGGGAGATATATCACCTTCGGTCCTTTTGAGAAACGGACCATCGAGGTTCGGTACGGACCGTGAAGGACGTTGCCTATATTATTTGGTGGCTGGCTTGGTTGGAACTGTGGTGTCGTTCTATCTGTCTAGCTTTCTGTTTCAGTTTGTCAAGATCCCTTTTAGTTTAGTATAGTATATGATATTGTACATGTCTGCAATCGTTGTGAGTTGTGAAAAAAAAAAACTTTTAACACTAGTCAAAGCAATCAAAAGATACGGCCGTTTGTCTCATATTTTGGCACTTGCAAGGGAATCAAAACCTATAGATAGAGCGAAATTTGTCTAGAAGCGAAATATTACAGTAGGTCAAACTAAAAGTTTCCATAACTGGCCACTTACATAAACAATATTTAATAAGTAATTACAACATTTAAAAATGGAACTCTTTGGCTGAAGAATGCAGTTTATTTCATCTAACTGTCATTTTTTTTACATTATCGCCATTTTAATAATAATATCTACACTAACATGGATTTAACTCCTATCCAATCCTACACAATCATTTGCGTGTGAGAAAGCTACGCTCGCAGTGGATCTCACACTATGACCGAGGCTAAAAATATGGACCGCGTCATTTTATGCAATGCCATGCTTACCAGATTCTACGAAGGGGCGTCAAATTTGGTGTGGGACATAATAACAGGTGACGAAACATGGATTTATTGCTACGATCCCAAAACAAAGCAGCTATAATGCGATGATATGGATATTTCAAGATGAGTCGAAACCAACCAAAGCGGCGCACGGGAAAAGTGCATCTAAGCGGATGATTGCTTCTTTTTTAATAACACTGGACACGTGGCTACTGTTCATTTAAAGAATCCTTGAATAGTGACTGGTACACGACCGTTTGTTTGCCGGAAGTTATTGGCGTAAAAATAAACGTAAACGCCGTATCATCTTGCACCACGACAATGCTAGTTCCCACACGGCCAAACAGACAAACTAATTTTTGAAAGTGAAAAATATAGAACTTACGAGCCAACTGCATATTGTTCCGACCTGGCACCTTCCGACTTTTTGCTGTTCCCGAAAAATTAAGTACCAATTACGAAATCAATGATTTTCATCACCAGAAGAGGCTGTCGAAGAATATGAAAAACACGTTTATGAGGTCACCATAGAGTAGTGGCACAAATTAACATTGCTATTACTTTAGGATAACATTATCCTGTGCTGTTAAGGACGTTTTACAAACATAAATTTCACATGGAAAACACCTAGATAGGAAACGACTATATTCTGTGGGTCACACAACTAGTTGTCCCGTGTGGGAATCGAACCCACGACCCCCGACGCCGAGGCCAATACCTTGGCAACTGCGCCACAGAATCATCGTTATTTTCAAAGTTGGTTTAATCGTATGAAAAGTGTTTTGAGAAACAATAAATTTATTTTGGACCTTAAAAAGTATTTTTCTTCTATTCATTCTGGAAACTTTTAGTGGGCCCCACGTATTTTAAGGGAAAAATGCGAATTAGCATTTAAAATGTACAGTTTTCCAATGGCAAATGAAATTTATCCCTCAGTCTAGTTTTATTTTCATTAGAGCAACGTCAAATGTTTATGAACTTCAGTAATGTTACATAATTATTTTGGTGGATAACTGATATCAGTGTTATGCGCCGTTTTTCAACTTCGACCACTGAGAAATCTGGTTCAATTTTAACAATTAATAATAAAATAACTTTGATTTCCAATTTTGGCTGCTACTAACCGAGTCTCACCTATAAAGTCACACTTCACTTCTTCGTAAGTAATTACCGTCAATCTTGGTGGCGTAGTCAACTAATTGTACAACACACACGTAGATAAGTTTATTGTGTGCACGTGAAATAGTTTTATTATAACAGTGTTATATTAGCGTTTGTTGCATAAATATATTTGGGTACTGTCCACTAAATAGAAGACAGTTGGTCACCCTAGTGAAGATAGATTTGAGGAGTGGAGTCACGTGCGTGTTGGGGATAACACGTGCACTGCCGCTCCAGCCGCCCGCTCGTTAAGCGTCTCCTGTTTATAGAACGGTTTATAGCGCGCTCTAGTGTTTACGGCCGGGACATCCAGGCCGATTTGTACCAGGAAATAGCGCTAATGATGATGGTTCATTGCTTTCGTTTTATTAATCCGATCTAGCGACACACAGTCCGGACCGTCCTAGGGCGAACGAATAATTCCACCATTGCGTTCCAAAATGGCCGTTTAGTGGCAACTTTGGACGAATGTTTCACAAATTTATTTCAAACAGCTGATAGACTCGATGAATATAAACAC